TGTACATTTCTCCATATTTTTGGTGTAGGCCAAAAGCTTTAATAAATTTAAGCGAAACACGCCCTTTAAACATTACAATTTATATTAAGGCTTATACGAATATCAATTTCTATGCAATGTACCAGAAAATAAGCCCAATGATTATAATTGATTGTTATACTCCTGTATTTTGCAAATGAAATATTTTGAAGTCTTATTTTCATAAAATCTACAATATTTATCAATCTATCAGTCATCCTTTGTCCTAATATACGATCAAAACCGCCAAAGGGGAACCGTTTATTGCTTAAATAGATCTATTTTCCTCGTACATAAGGATGTAGTAATAATAACTATATGTAGTGACACACCTACGCAATATTTTCCACGATTCTTCATGTAAATCTTTGTCGGTATGTTGCTTAGATACAAAATGTCAACATATTATTTAATATTAAATGAAAAATCGATCGTCAGACTACGGTCGAATATTGGTCAAGTTTAGGTCTCTTTATTTTATACATATGGTTAATGCTTATGGAGGTGCTTAATTGGAAAAAAAAATAAGTGTATATCTGAGCATCAAATAACGGACACAATTTGCATTAGTGTAGGTGTGGAAATTATGGTGACTTATTATTATGTAATCTTCAGTTAGGTAAATAATTATCTATTAATAGTGACTTTATATAGCAACCATTTTACTTATTTTGAATATGAAATGAAAGGGCATCCAATAAAATTGCAATAATCAAAACTTGCGACACACATTTAACTCCGTTAAGATAAAACGTATACTAAAAGTCTCCCTGTAATCAAAGTATTTTTTTTTCAATCTGATTCGATTACGTAAGAAAACCATTTATCCTTTATCAAATCGAAATCAATTACGGTAAAATTTTGAATTTTTTCTTTGCACCTAATCGAATAAATATACGATTATCGAGCAAATCTATTCTGAAGCGTCATTAGGCCTAATCTGATAACTTCCGCTTTAGTACCGGCGTCTAAAATGTTTACTCCGTTTCTAGGATAGAAATAAATGGGCTGCCACCCGTGTACTATTTGAGGTGTCATCTATAAACAATATATTAAAGTCTGTCATTACGACACATTTCAGTATAATATATATTTATTCTTTTTTGGGATGGGATGGGGATGGGATGGGATGCGGAAGCTGGTTAGCCGCCATCTTGAAAAATACTCAGTTTTAACCCGCAGACAAAAACTGTTTCGCTTTGTCACGTCATATTGATTATGGTAATCGAAGTAGATTTAACAGCGTAGAAATGCCTCAGGCCACCCAACGATTTGAAACCTGATTAGCAGACTCTTCCAATAATAACCTTATTTTATGGATTTATCAAATTACACAGGAGTCATGTGTTACATTTGTTATATTGTATACACTACTTGATAACTACTTGTGGAATCTTGTCGAAACGTCGTGTTTAAGAAATAAAGTGATTGCTATCCATAAAGACTCATACTCTATTCATGTCAATCACTTAATGCCTTTCAAACTGTATACCAAAAGATATTTCAATTAAGAAGTCTCTTAAAATGGCGACTCGTAAAAATAACTTTTAAATATATAATAAAATTTATTTCGATTTTGTTCCCGTATCGCCCTTTTGAAACTCATCCAATCTAATCCCATTTTCCTGTCCCAATTTTAGACCGAATTGGGTCGGTCGATAGTTGAACTTTATGGATATTTTACTAGGCTTTAATTGATTTCTCACAATACCTATACAATACTTGTTCGTAAAGCTCTGAAGCAGTTAACCAGTGTTTTATAAGTCAATAATGATATTACTGTGTTATTAGTTCAGGCGTTAAACAAGGCTGTCTGACCAATTCTAAAAACTATATTATTCAGTTTATTGACAGACATATTATACCTATTTTGTCTACTGCCACTTTTGTTTCGATAATCCCGAATAAAATTAAGTGCCACGTGGTTTAAAAATGGGAAAACTTTTATGAATTCCCAGAAAACTGCATTTAATAAACTCAATCTCTCTCAACTCAAACCATACATTTACCGGTAGAAATGAAACTGTCCATGGTTGCGGCAAGTACATTGCTTTATGGTCTAATAAACATTTAAATAACCATCGAATGTAGGTTATGTTCAATTTGCAAATCAAATTCAAAAATGAATACCATATTCAATGTAAAGCATACATTCCAAATGATGTTTTAATTGACAGCCAAGATATAATGAGTTCAGTCATGAGCTACTGTTACCAATTAGGACAGACGATAATGCTCATCTGAATCTGATTTTTTAAATTGATAGGAAATTTGTTGTTGAACTACAATTTAACCTTTGAGCAGTCACGTGGGGTATTTTTTTGTTTTTTGACCCCAAGTTTTTATGTTTTCTTGATAACCCCAAGTACCTATTTTGTCACATGTTCGGAATATCAAAGATCAAAGTGATATTGCAGCCTGAGGTTAAACCTGACTCAAAGTCTGAATACAGAATATTAAACTATATATGTTACTTTGGTGAATATTTTAAGAAAGAATCCACTTTAACGAATATAAAGATGATATCGATGAGCATCAACACTATAAGTTCGGACTCTTATCTTGGTCCGCCATATTTACTTGTTGTAAAGTTGGTTGAATTCACTTAGTGGTAGTGTTAATAATCTATGTTGATAGCTCAATGTCTGAATACTACTAGCTGATTTGTGGACGGTTGGTTGGTCGTAAGAAAACAGGTTAACCTTCGCTTCCACCGGATGCTGATATCGCGAACTAGGTAGTAGGTAGTCGAAGTAATTGGTAGTTCGATTGGTTCAAATTCATGGATGATTATGTGCTGTTGGTTTGGTAGTTGCTAATTCGTAAGCTCTAGTCGGGTCGATTGACATGCCGGTGAAACTCAGCCCTTGACGGTGTTGCATGAGTTATTTTATGTGATCGTGGTAATTCTTGTTGATCGATAGTCTAATGTGCTCGTTAGTTTGGTTTGGTTAGATTATCTGATAAATGTTGGCAAACTGAAAGTTCTGAAAAAAAGAAAAAGGTAAAGTAAGGGAGAAAGGATGTGTTCTCTTATCTTTCTGCAGAGAAATTTTATATTTGAGTCTAGTGAGAACATCAAATTTTAATTTAATATTGGTACTTTCAGATAAGTTTCTCTATTTTTTGTTGTATAGTGTTCATTCATTTAAGCAAAACAAATTTACAATTTTCTTACAAATAGTTCACAAGAAATATTAACGGACCTACAGACATAGGCGACGGCGATATGTGGGCGTATAACAATTTGTTAGGTGATTTGTGATGGTCGTTCATTGAAGGGTGGTGCTGATAACCGTTAGTTCAAGTTTGACTGAATACTTCACCTTCTTTGTTTTTTTTTTTGTTTTAGATAAAGATTTATAAATATCAGGAATGATTAAATGCAAAAGAAGTCAACTTTTCGCCTTACTGGTTTTTATCTCTGTCTCCAGTCTTCTGTATTCTGTTTACCATTTACAACATTTAGCAGGGTAAGGAATTGTATAAATATTATTGTGTCATGAAACCACGCATAAACTTTCCGAGTATATTGTTTGAAGTCACACTGGCACTAGCATGATTTCTAATGTTAAAGTCCCCCTCCATTTAAATGCCTTGGTCTTACTGGCACCCTCCACCGAATGATTTCTTATTCTAGACAGTTAAATCAAGGCTTTCCTTCAGATTAAGGCATTATTTGACATGACAATCAAAAATTAATCTATTGTAATAGTTATTCGTATGAAAATATCAGATGACAAGTGGAAGGGTGTATATTTACTTGCCAATTGAACTATGATCCTTAAATCTATGCCAAATACACCTCTTTTTATTTTACTGTAGGCCTGTATAGGTAAAAAGTGTCATGGGTCGTTATGCAAACCACAAACTCAATTTTCAAATACGATACGCGTGAATGTCTCCTCGAAATGTATACATGATAAAAAGGTTTCCAAGTGTGAACTAGCCTCATTGAAATAAATTAACGCCTTCATGGTTCGTCACATCGCATCGTTGGAAAAGACTTAATATAAAAATATTTGAAATCATAGATAAATAACTTAACTATATCTTAAGCTATCAGAAAAAAAAAATCATCACAGGTAAGACAACTCAAAATGTCTAATTATGTTATTCGAGTCTATCTTTTTACATATTATATAGTTCAGATTTAAGAAGAATTATTTTGAACTTTATTTTGATTTCTATCAAGTCTTCATTATGAATGTTTTGAAAAATATGATGAACTATTTTTCCAGGATTGTGACTATGTATGAAAGCACAGCATGGGTTATTGTAGAAGCTAATCATGAAGGCGAAAAAATTAATACGAGCTTTTTGCCTTCTGAAGAATATACTGTGTTGTATTTGAGACATGATAAGCTTTCTGACTACAGGTATGTACTGAGATAATGAGTTAGGATGTCCTTATGGAATAGATTTCCAAGAGGCCTTTCAATATTTACTGAATGTATCGTTAGTTCAAACAGATTTCAAATTACTTGCATTAAATGCTACTTTATGACAACCATGTAAAATTTACGTTTGTCTTATAATACGAAATTACTGTTTTATTTGGTACAAAAAATGAAAAAAACAACAAAATTGCACAAGAAATGAAATCAGTCGGAATTCATCTCGGTCGCTTACTGGTGACAGTACATTCTGTCAACTGATTACCTTTGCATACCTTTGTTTTTATCAACCTTAAATGTTATTCTTTTTGTAGGTACGGTAATACTTTGGTGATGTCAAGGGAACCTCTTAACCAAATTCTGTTTAAAGGACAAAGTGACAGTGGTCTCAGCTTAAAGCATCTCGCTATTTTTTATGCAATATCTAAACAAGCAACAGCTATATATGAATTAGAATTAATCGAGGACAATATTTTACCTAGTGCTATGAAAAGTCCTAAGACAGTGGGATTAGTAAACAAACATGGAGTTCTTATAAACCCCCATCTGCATTTTGGGATGCAGACCTTTTCTAACCCACTTATAAACATGTCCTATGTGTTAACTAATATAAATCCTTATGTCGAACACGTAGTTACCGATAGAACTGATATTGTTAATATATTATGGAAAGAGGAAGGTACAGTCAATTCAGAGTTAACGAGGTATTTTCAAGATTCAAAGGCGCCACCAATATTTTTATCACGAGGACAGCTGTCACCATTTTTCACACAAAACACCGTTTTCAGGAACATGGCTTATTGGACTATGTTTACTCCGTCAGTTAGCCCACCTGAACTTGGTGATATCTACAGAAATTTAATGGTACAGCGACTTTTATGGGAAATAAACGGCACTGTTGGATTTCACGCGTCAGAATCAACCTTTAAAAACTCAAATGAATTATCTTCTGGTTTCAAATACAGACCAAAAGGAAACAGTATTTGCAGCAGAGTTCGCCTTTTTACTGAGTTTTTACTAGGTTGGACTTGTGAAAAATATTTTACTCTTTATGAGTGCTTCACGGAGCTGATTAAAACTCTGACACAGAAATCATTTCTAAAACCATCAAATATAGAAGGTGTAAGAATATGGCTTAATGGCTTACAAACGGTGGGGTATTCGCTACCTCAGAGGCGTTCGCCAACTATATCAAATGATGATTTAAAACGTATCTCTTCTGAAAGCCAAGTAATATATACACCTAAAACAGAACCACGTCCGAAGAGTTTTTATACAAAAGCTTTAACAAGGTACTGTCCATTAAAAAACTACACCCTTGCCAGAGATGTTAAAACTGCAACCCCAGTACTTACACAAGTAGACATTCTTTTGATTGTTGTCTTTAACTATCCCCATTTTAGCAACATTCCAAATATCCAAAAACTTTACGAGCAAAGTGTCTCTCACATAGTGTATTGTGCAAGCAATAAAACTGCGTTTGAACTTGGGGCCAAAGAGTACAATTACCAAGGAAGTTTTATAGAAGCTGATATGGGTACAGGTGCGTATTTCTATAGGTGTTTGATACATGCCATGCAAATGGACTTTAAAGTGCGTGGATATTTATTAATTGGAGATGACGTTTTAATTAATCCATGGAGATTTAAAGATTTTCCTTTGGATAAAATCTGGTTGATAAATTCTACACGCTATCTTCATCTCAATCAAATTTTTCACGAATGGGGGCATTGGCATGCCTTTTATGGTCAAAAAGCAATGGTAAGCATGTTCAAAGATTTGAAAGAAAATTATACAGAAAAATATGAACAGCATAAAGCGAATTTGGCGCATAATTCAGGGGTGAATGATGGTATATTTTACGGAGGAGCCGATATAGCTTACATTCCATCTATTTTGAAAGAGGATGCTTTATTTTATTTCAGTATATATTCTAGACATAGACTATTTATAGAAATCGCCTTTCATAGTGTTTTATACGGCATGGCTCATCGTGAAAACATGATGACCCTCGTCGATGGATACATGTGGGTAGCAAAAAATAGATATCCCCGTATTTATAAACCTTATAATTTCTTTATTCATCCATTTAAAATCCGTCTTAAGTTAAAAACTAGTACTGGTGTTGATTTCTTTTGCAAACAATATTTACCTTATTTATTTGGTGTAAAAACTGTGAAATAAAATATATCTTTGAATATTCTGATGTACTATATATAGTGGTAAACTAGGTGATGAATACTGTGTAAATTAGTGAATAGCAATAATTAGAACCTCATAACTGTAATTTTTAATTAAAAACTTTAATTTTCACCAAGGTGATAATTCAAGAATTTTTAATTAAAAACTTTTTTTCGCCGTTCTTTACAAGATTCGTTAAATTATCACCTAGGTGAAAATTAAGTTTTTAAAGAAAAATTACTCGAATTATCACGAAAATTAAAGTTTTTAATTCAAAATTACAGGAATTATCATCTAGGTGAAAATTTATGTTTTTAATTCAAAATTAAAAGTGAAATATGTCGTATGTGAGCCACCGTATGATGGTACCTTTACGACGGCTCCACGAAGAAACTTAAGGCTGTTCTATGCCCTCACAATGCCGTTTATCCATCAAATTGTAGATCTATAAAATCGGGATGGGACCACGGTGTTGGAGAAGACAGTTGAATTCGAAATAAATTTGAAATGTACCGTGGTTCTTCTTCCAAAAATCTCCGAACAGCAATTAAATATTTCACTCTTGGTCATAAGTTTTTAGCATCGGAAGGACAAACAACGCATCGTACTTTCAATACGAAATTGTGTAGCCATATTAGTGCATAGTTATGGCGGCATCTTGGGACTTTCTGTACGCATCGTATTGCTTCGACTGTTTAAATGGCCTGTGGCCATCTGGTGTCGATTTCGGGACAGTGTGAATCCTGCATATGTTGCAGGGCGTAGCCCAGTGAGAAGTTTTCTAATAATACAAGAAAGTCACTATTTCTAATTTACCTTGCTCTTAACATTTTGATCGTCAATTTGATTTCATTGTTGTCGAAATAAGACTCTTTGCAATGAGAAGTTTCTGCATTATTTTTATTCTTTTGATGTACACTATTACTTAAAAGTTTTAGGCAAATAAGGAAAGTTTCTAGTCATTATGAAATATTGGCATGTGTTTAAATAGATCTACTAAATAAATATTTATCTCTATGTTTACAACCTCTCTTATGATAAAATAGAAATAAAGGATTCAATATGACCTATTATACGGTGTGTGGGTTGTCGATTCAAGTCCGGGCATGATGTAGACACGATTTCTTTCTTTCATCGATAATCATGTCACTGATTGAATTACGAAGGTTTTCGCTTGAATTATTCAATTCATCTAATTAAAATACAGTTTAAGGCTGAGAAAATGAGTAAAACCATGGACAATTTAAGCGATTACAAATGGAAGGGCTGAATATTTCATTTTAAATTCAACAAATGTTGATTATTATTTCAGTCTAAACTGAAGATGTTGCTCTGTGTTTTAATATCCTTTGACCAAAATAAAACTCCAAATAGCAACGATTTCTTTAATAACTAATATGTGTCTTTGATAAATAAAAATAAAATTGCGTTCAAATAATATTTAGACTGTTAATAATATAAGTCTATCGATGCTGTTTTATCTAATTTTAAATCCAAGGTAAAACTTTCAGTTTAGAGGATGGTATACACGCCCCATTCATGCACATCTGTAAAAACCAAATTATTATGATTTGAAATATATCAATAGGTATAACTTTATAGTCAACAGCAAGTTAAAGAGACTTGTTCACCATTTTCGGGAGTAAATAGTACCTTGGTCTCAAAAAAGGGAATTGTTCCGTTGAGCTAATCAGTAATTACGGCTTACCGTCGACGTTTTAGCCATCCTATCCTACGTGTATCCATATCATTCATTTTTGAAGGTTATTTTAACGAGTCGTCTTTTCAGGAGCCTCCATTTTGAACAATGGTTAAAAAATTATCGTACAGTGACGTCATTGGTATTTGAGTCACACCGAGAAACAAAACCAGATCTACATTCGTCGTTCATCACAAATCATCATGCACATGCTCTATGGAGATAAAAACTACTCAGGTAAGAAAAGATAAAGAATAAAACAAGGTCTTACCATTCCCAGACCACACTTAGTCCCATCTACAGCTGGTTCTCGGCGAAATATTCTATAAACATTATTTTCACAGCATAATTTTTGGCATCTTTCTTCTGCAGACTGTGACTAAAATATATATAATAAAGCTTACAATGTTGTTCATACTTTAAATAGAATCTACAATCATGCATACAGACCGAAATCGGTCTTATCAAACCTTTATCAACATGTCCAGTGCATAAAGAAACTCAAAACATATATGACTTGATTTGTTTGTACCATAATTACATGAAGTCTTGGGAACCATTGTTTAAAATGTTTTGAGTGGCCTTTGACCTTTTGGTGAAAATTTCACACATTTTTCACCTTTATAATTGTTTCACACATCAGTGTTTCTATTAGTGTCGACTTAATTGTATTTTGACGTTTCTATTATATTGAAATATCTGAACCATCATCAACTACCACACGGCAACGCAATAAATGAAGTAGACGTAAAATTAGACCAGGAATCATGCTAGATCATTCAAGATGGGGTGTTAGTGCTAAAATAACGTATCAAAGATTTGAATTATTGTCGAAAATCATCAATTATACTTCATTTTCAGTGTCTGTAAATCTAAGTAATATTTAAATATAAAAAAAATAAATGCTTACTGGACAAGGAAAGCCATTGGAATATTCACGACACTGGTCCGATATAGGCATATATTGTCCTGGCAACAATTCAGGATAGGTATAACCTGCATCTGAAGTCTCTCGTAAACATTTGGAATACCATATCCTGTAAATTAATCATACTATTACAAAATGTTAGAGTCTGGTACTACTACCAGGGGGTACAAGTGTCTCTTGTTGTACCTACCAACTCCAAAAATGGGCAGGGGGGAAGCGGGATATCTGAAATTGACAATTGTATTTTCTACAAATTACAATTCGACAAATGTACTTTCACAAATCGATATTTGTATTTTTGTCATTTGCAAGGAAATTAATATTGGCATCGAAACAGCTCCATAAAGAAGAACCTTTGATAAAATCTTACTTCGATAGAAAGTGGCGTATACTTCGTTTTGAGCATTCCGAAAATCTTGAAAACATGGAGGCATTATGCCTTGTATAACTCATAATAAAACCCGAGTTTTTTGGGCAATCTGCAGCTTCGTCTACTCCATCATGATAAGCTCCAATTCTACAAAAAATGGATTTCTTAATGTAAATTAAAAATAATTGGATTAACAAAAAATATGTTGAGACGTTCTATTCAGAGAAATAGTAATGGGTAATAATGATCAGGAAAATGTCAAGTATTATTCGAATTGTCGAGTGATAGTAAACCAAATGTCGAAGAATTATGGCATTAGAAGTTTTGTGAATAGTTCCTTCACGATTATACAAATATTAACGTAATATAAAATAAAGGTATAAATGATAAAAGCAAAATCAAGGTATTGATTATGACAACACGAAAAGTGATGATTCATAAAGAAAATATTGAGTCGTGATCCCGAAAACTGTATAGATTATTTAAGGGATATATTCCTCGAAATATTCGCTTTTCTGGTCGTATTAGAATTTCTGCTGTTCATCATACTTTCTGATATAAATCGAATACTCCACACTTAACAAAAATTGCAAATGCCTAGTTTATATCTTTATTTTCAGGATATTTAAATGGTTACAGGCATTTATAACATAATTGTATTTGAATATCCGCACGCGAGAATGTTAAACTGAAGACAATGTAACCTTCATAGTTTGTTTTGCTGACGTACCAGAAGTCCTATATGTATGGATGGCAAAGCAAATAAGACGAATAGATAATATCAAAATTCAAATCAAAATAACTATCGCATAAAACCTTCCAAATACAAGATATAAATCAATACAGTTTAAAGATGGGTTCCCTTATTTATGATCATGAAAATGCTAATACTTATATGAATATAAGGTAGAGGTGTTTAAATGACTTTGAAAAATACCAGTTTGTCTCACATATCCATACTAAATTCATAATTACCAGCAGAATTCCAATGAGTGACCGATCAAGAAAGGTAAAAAGTCAGTTTATCCAGACTGTACATACATTGGCATTTAGGATTGTTTAAAACTATTAATTATATGCAATAGGAACATAATGATATGATTAAGAATACATGATAATTCATTAGAAACACTCATTAATCAAATAGTTTGCTTAATTTGACACACAAAAATAAGGAAACCCATCTTTAATAATGCATTCTTATTTTATACTAAAAAGTTTTTTTCTTTGTTTATGCTTCTACAATTAATATCCTTTATATTTTCAGATCCTGTTGTAAATCGCCAATAGTAACTTCATAAAAGCATGCATTGAGATAGTATCAGCTTTAAAAGGGTTTCTGTCGATTGGAACAACAAATTTGTTTAGTGATTGGTGAAGAAAATGTTATGAATAAATACATGTACATACTACTCGATATCGTCATAACTTACAGATGTCCGACTTCATGTGCACTGACTAAAACTCCCTTAAAACTTTTACCAATCTCACTAACTGCCACATCATAAGTTGATTTGGCATATTTTCTAGATGATATACAAGCTCCTTTAACATAACCAATACCTAAAACAAAACATAAACATTACTGGACAAAAGATACATATCATTGTTTACATTATCAACATAATGGACCCAGTCCACTAAAAGATTTCACGCAAATACGAATGTAGTTCGTGCTATATTTAGAAAACCTCTTTTCCTCTCACTTTTGGGACTTTTGCAATGCCTATTTTTAACTAATTTTTGGTCTGGATTTGGAATTTGTCTAATATTGCATTTTCTTTCAGATTTTGTGAGATGATGATTTTCATGCAGAAGAATAATTCTAAAAATGGTCGTTTTGTATGCAATGACAGTCAAGCGGATGTTGAAAAAATCTTTACTTTCAGTTTGACTAGCTCAAGATTTTCATGGTCATATACTTGAATTTTGTCCAGAAACTAAGTATTGGCCAGGCTTTCATGTGACATATTGGTAAGTTTTCAACGAGATTTCTGTAAAATGTTATAAAAGGTTGAATTTCGTGTTTAACATTGAAAGAAAAAATAAAGATAAGAAAGATAAATTTAGCGAAATCGAAATTAGGCTTGAACTTTTCATTAAGAAACAAATAGAAACATTAGAATTCAGTGTGGGTTTGTTTAGGCTACATGGTGACGTCGTTTCAACGGAAACAACTGATATCATTTTTATTCAATATAGCTATCTATATTCGGCAATCTGGTCCCAAAGTGTGAGAAATGATCTCTATGTCCAATTGATCAAAATGTCATTTAATCAATTATTAATTTGCCTAACGCAACCAAAGGGTTTTATAGGTCGTGTTTAAAATAATCCAATATAATCAATATAATCAAGTACTAACCGGTTTGTCCAACCACAATTAACAATATTGTGCAAAATAGATTTTAAGTCCATTATGACTTGGTAACCTCCTAACAATTAGAAATTATTTACTTTTATTTTATACCAACCCGTTTTTTATTGACAAATGTTGTAGTACATTTTAGAATGGTTAAAAATTCAAGTTCATTCAAAGTTTATACACTTAGGTAAAACTATACATATATTGTGTCAGATTATAATTCAACATATTTTTAAGAAAGGAAGGATTGTAGTGTGTATCAATTTTTAGTATGCTTACGGATAGGAAAATCACGTGGCCTAATGAGCGGTGAGCCTTCCTCTTAAATATACAGTAGTGTAACGTATATTCGTGCATATAAGAATTCAACACCAAATTTCGTCAAAATTAGCAAACACAATGTCTTAAAAATTCCCTCAGATACTCTGTAAAATAATTAACATGGTTTTGTTTCGATTTTCTTAATGAATCCCTCACTTTGACCCTTATTTCATGTGTACCAAGCTCGACAACGGCTTCAAAAAGCGTCACCTATTTTCGTGTACAATGTTTGATCTTAAAATAAGTCGAGAAAAATACGTTGTATGGATACCCAGTGGTATATTTATCATTTCTTAGTATTTATCTTTAATATCAATTCATCATGACAATTCCTTCAAAGATTCCTTCAATGATTTAAAAAAACCCCAGAAATTGAGCGACAAATTAAGATAAGTAATACGTAGGGTGACTTATTACTGAAAGTCATTGAAACAACATAAGAATAAGGCCCACATCGTGCTCCATAGAATTTTTCATTTTACCTTGCTTGAAACCTCTGGATTCATTCTACTAGCTGACATTGTACAGATAACCCATGAAAACATGCAAATACAGAAGTCACGCAAAGTCCCACATGTAAATTATTAATCATTTCCGGAGATGCAAGAAAACTAGGTTAGCACGAAATTAGGTTACCAGACTGTAATGGACTCTCTTGTACAAAGGCTAATAAAAGAACCTATTGTGTCCTTGGAATATAGTTTTATCTATTATTTAACTCCTTGTAGCAGAGCACGACAAATGGCGACGGGGATTTAGCCATTAACATTAAAAAGAAGAGAAAAAAGAGGTTAGTTTAATTAAAAGACAAGGCGAAGATCGACCACGATTTTAGAAACGGCAAAATCAAATTGGCGTTCGGTGGTAAATTAGACGAAATTGTCGAAACTGCAGAAAATTGGCCCACGTACATTGAAAGAGCATTGAACAATATTTTCTTGCCAACGAAATAAGAGGTGATAAGAAAGTACTAGCTCTGCTCAGTTTGATAGGATGTAAGGCATATGGTCTACTGAAGAATCTACTGACACCTGAATTACCTTCAACCAAAACATTTGATGAAATAGTTTAGTACTTGAAGAATCATTTGTCACCAAAACTACTGGGAATAGCTGAGAGATTTCTATTCCATTAAATACATAAGCATGAAGGTGAGAGTATTCACGAATATCTGACAGATATAAAGAGATTAACTACTCATTGTGAATTCGGTGATCATCTAAACCAAAGTTTGACACAGATTTGATAAGGCAATCAAGATTGCTGTTGCTGCTGAAACTGCTAAAGAAAATGCTTCAGAATTACAGAAAAGGGTAAGGGCTGAAAAGGATGTTTATAAATTTCATAGGAAATCCGAGCGGAAAGATGAAAGAAAAGTGAATTGTAAACACTGCAGTAAAACAGTCAAGAATTACGTTTTTGATTTTATTAGAATAAAAAGTGTCGAAATTGTCAAGAAAATGGACACGTGGAAAAGTTTTGTACCAGAAGGTGAAAGTTCACATTATTATAAATAACAGTCAAACTTTAATAGGCTAGGCATTCTTAATCTCAAAAGAAAGATACGTGAAGAATGTGAATAAACTAGAAGAGAAAATGAAGACGGTGATGATATAAAATATAATACTGAAGATATTCCAGGTCTGTCTATTTACAAAGTGTAAGGAATTAAATCTAATATTATATGGGTAACTGTTTATAAACAACCTATTCAAATGGAATTGGACACTGGATTACAGTAATTCCCTACAATATATATAAAAGATAAAGCTCTTCTGATACATTTCAGACTTATACAGGACAATCCGTTAGACCTTCAGATTATATTGAAGTTTAGGTTTCACATCAAAATAAGACTGAATTAATGACTTTTTATGTTGTGAAAACAGACAGTCCTCCATTATATGGTAGAGATTGGCTTTCAAAATTCAAGTTTTATTGGAAAACTACTGTTTCACAAATAAATCATTAAGTTGGGTGATAATGAAAAGACTTTGATACAGAAGTTAAAGGAAGAATTTTCAGAAGTATTCAAAGAAGGAATAATTGGTACTAAGATATCAAGGCTAGAATAAATTTATTACCCGATTGTAAGCCAAAGTTTTGCAGGACTAGACCATTAGCTTATGCTTTAAGGTCAAAGGTTGAAGCAGAATCGGTAAAATTGCAAAATAAAGGTATTTTAGAGAAAATAGAATGGGGTGAATGGTCCTCATCCATTGTTTCTGTTTTGAAATCCAATGGTAATGTTAGAATCTACTGAGATTTCAAAAGCACTATATATCCAATCATGATGGATGAACAATATCCTCTACCACGTATAGAAGATATATTTGCATCAATTGGAGCAGGTCAGAAATTTACAAAGATAACTTTACGAAAAGCTTATCTACACATTATGGAAGTTGAAGAAGGTTCAAAGCAATATCTAACAATACTCATAAAGGTGGCGTCTGCTCCAGCGATATGGCAAAGGGTTATCCATCAAGTTTAAGATGGTGAACATACAATGAATAGAAGAAGATATGATAACGAAACGACTTCAAAGGCATTGTTTGCGGGTAAACAGTGATAAGTGACTTTTTCAAAGACAAGATATCTTTTGGTGGACATGGATTTGGTGAAGGGTCTACACACTAAAAACAGACACAGTATTGTAGCCTTGTTGTACGTTGTAAAAAGTAGCCTGGACTGGCTAATGCTATTACCTCCTGGGGTCGTAATGGAACAAAAGGGTATAGTAGCATTTACTATACTCTATAATTATCTGGAGAGGTCTATTGTTACCTATAAGTACTTACTATACTTACATCTTGGGTGTTCCAACAGATAACAGATAATCTAACCAAACCAAACCAAACCAACGACTACCATTCAACAAGAAATACCATGATCAGAACGAGTTTGGAAGAATGAAGAAGATCGAGTAACTCACGCCACACCATCCAGGGCCGAGTTTCACCGCCATGTCATTCGACCCGACCAGATCTAACGAAGAATCAACAACCAAACCAACAGGGAAATTCAAATTATTTTCTTTGTTCAGAGCGACACCTATCGGAGGATATATATACGGCGAATATTTTGGGGGCTCTCCATTTGGCAAGCAAGGAGGAAGGACACTCTTTTCTTTAGCATTGGTAGGAGTCTGTAAGCAGTGTAGATTCTAGTCCTTGGGTATCTCTAGAATTCAGTTTACGACTTTAGTGTTAGATTGTATAGAGTATTAGATTGTATAGTTCAGTGTTAGTAGAATTTTGTGTGCCTTTGACGGAAATAAAGAAGGACTGTTATATATATGAATCTGCCTCCAATTCATTGTGTCTTTGGAAAAAGGATAACCGTAGTCTGAAGTCGGTCATAGGCATACCTAGCCGACTGCCCTATTGGAATAGAACAACAACTCCTCCAGCAGATAGCCAACAACTCCGTTGCAGTACTTAAAGCTCCTGTACCCGAGTCATTTGTACAATAACGTTCATTTCTGAATATCAACATTTTCTACCGAATTTATCTTCCATTTTACAAGGACCAGTTGTTAGAAAAGGGAATTGGTCAGATCGTGCGTTTAATCACATCAGATACAGTTTTAGCTCACTATAAACTAGTGACCAAACTGGAATGTGATGCTTCTCCTTATGGCATTGGTGGTGTATTGACTCAAGTGATGCCAGATAAGAGTACTGAGCGACAAATTGATTATGCTTCTAGATCATTGACTAAAACAGAACGTCAATATGCTCAAATTAATAAAGAAGCTTCGAGTCTAGTTTGGGGTGTTAAACGTTTTTATATGTATCTTTTTTGGTTGAAATACAACCTAACAGGGTAATGGTATATGGTCACGGTTCAGTTGTTTACCAGTTACATGTGAAAAAGTTCGACAAGGAACTATTTATCATGAACGGATGGTTACTGCAACATAAAAATTATCTAGCTCCTTATTATTCTAAGATGAGAGATCAGTAGTGAATTGATGTCTCCGAAAACAAGTTTTAACGCAACTACATGGTACTCATAATGTATTATACGTATGAAAGCACTTGCCAGAAGTTATGTTGTGGCCTTGTATTGGTCATGAGATAGAAGAATTAGTAAAGAAATGTTCTTACTGTCAACAGATCCAAAATTCCCATCAACTTGTACAACTTCATTCATGGGAGTGGCCAGAGAAACCTTGGCAACGAGTACATATCGACTTCGCTGGTCCAATTCAAGGTGCTGTGTTCTTTATAATGGTTGATGCGCATTATAAATGGCCAAAAAATCTTCAAAAAACATTGAAGTATTACGAGGAGTATTTTCCCATAATGAAATTCCCGAACAACTCGTTTTTCGGAATTACCAGAATTACCGTGATCAATATTGACAAAGTTTCGGTAAAAAAAAAAGCTAATCATTACCGTGATATGTTACAGAGCGCTTGCGTAACTATCACGGAGATCGTTTGCGAATTTTCAAGACGATAACTTCAACGATTACAATTCATCAATATCAACAACGCGAACACATATTCCGTTAACGTCAATCATTCTAATGTCTCCGCTGTAAACAAATCAACATCGCCCAATTAAACAACTCATGCAATGTCATTCTCAACGACCTAAATTTACCCAGGTTTCACAACCAAACCAAAATTGGCCAAAATATCTCTGCCACGATTCAATGTCTGAGGCAGATTACGAAGCCGCTATGGAACTTTTTCAAGTCTGATTTGGAAGGATCCTAAAAACATCTCAACTCTTATGGATAATCCACTAAAATAACCATTTTGTAATGACTGACATTTTAAAGCATCACACTTACGAAATATATAGGATATTGTTAGTGTAAACATTCGTAGAGTCGCTTGGCGTACGAGCTGCACAATATGGGAGCTTTTTATTCCAAATTTAATAGAAAAAATTTAGGCAATCAAAACCGAGAATTTGAAAATCAATACATTCGAAAAGGACCTACAACCCAACGACATGTGACTGGCTTGATATTCGACTACAACACAAACAAGGTGATGAGTTTACAATTCAGCGAACGACATTCTCGAGCATTAGTTCGCCAATATTCTTGTCAAGCAATATCCATATATTCAAAACTTAGACCTCGCATATGACCCAACAGAACAAAACATTTCACAACATAGCGATATTCTAATGGGTGCAGATTATTACTGGTTGTTGGTGACGAAATTGGCAGTGGAAAGTGTTTTTAGTTGGCCTATATCCGATCCTGTTTACTCTCCGTCCGACAAACATGTAATTTCAAATCTTATCGATTCTCTAAGTACTGAGGAATCAATAATGCATTTAATGGCCAATTTGAAAACATATTGGGATATTGAGGCAATCGACATAAACCCACCCAGCACCCAACATTTCGATGCGATATAGGCCTACCTCTTAAAGGGGTTTCAATCGGTTGTGGTTTGGAGCGTAAAATACATCAAACTGCATGCCAAAATTTAGAGGTAGATGCCCCTTACCTTTCGTGAAAGTTTTAACTTAAAGGGGAACAGTCGGCATTTCAGGGATTGGTTTTGGTCTTTATTGGGCTTTAATAGTCTTAAGAAGTACTCAAACGCACGAAAATCGCATAATCCCTTCAAATATACCTCAAACTAGAAATTTCACTGTCTATTTCTATATATTATGTGTTTTCTATATAATGCATAGTCTCACTAAAATTCGAGTCGAATTTTCAACTTTCAAACGTGAATAATTGTGGATACACAAATTTCGACGATGAGCTGTGAACACTATTACTGATTATGTAAGCTAAACAAATTCCTGTTTTTGAAGGTGCTCCTTTAACATATCAAAGCGTTAAGTCACAAACAGTTACAAAGTCTTAACCGGTAACGTAAGTATTTTGAATTCCCCCGGCTCCATTGTTACTGTACTAGCCGATATCTGATTATGAGAAATTAATTCTGATTGGACAACCAATCAAAAGGGTTTTCACAAATGTACCTCCGAAAGTGAAGAGTTGTAGGTCCGTAGTTCGATAATACTCGCAAAAATCACGTCATGTATTTTTTAATTCAGCAATTATAAAATTTGATATTAAAAAAGGGTTTCTGTCGCCAGGTCAACGTATAGAAACTATACAAAGGACATACATATAATACATCGAAATTCCATGTTGAAATTAAAGCAGAATTCCCCTTTAAATTGAACCCCCGGCTACTATTATTTAGGAATGAAATGTATTTTTTAATACCTGCTGTTAGTTTGAAACACCCACTGCTTGACGTATTCCTTCGGCATAGGTCTTCACTGAAATTACAATAGAGGTGTAATTATGGCCCGAATGAATAAAATAAAATTAAGTTAAAAAGAGTAATTCTAAATTAAAGATAGTTATATTATATTTATGTACCAACTAACAACAACTGTCTGACTACATTGAGCACTGAATTGAATTTTTTTCTCTCCTTTCATAAACATTAAAAATAAAATTTTCACTCGTATACCAATTGTCTTAAAGGGTCCATAGAAATATAAGGTTCTGTGATTTTACATTTAAAATAGAAACACTTCCTTCCAAGAAAATTCACGTGAAAATGGCCCACTTTTCGGACAGAAAATTCCCCTCTGTAAAATCATTTTATCAATTAATATTTTTTCCAGTGGTTAACATTTTCATCAACCCAAAGACAATCTAAGACTCTCACTGGTACTTTGTAGTTGGTATTTCAATTCATAGGAAAATGATTGTCAAAATTCAATTCAGAAAACAGGGTAGAGAGTAATTCGATTAAAAATTAAAGTTATTCGAGCAGAAAAGGATTAAACTAGGCAATATCAATACAGTACAATAGTACAATGGAACAATTGTTATAATAGATTTTACATTATAGAAAAGAAATCAATAAGGTTCACCCCATTCTTTATACTGTTACACAAGAATAGGGTCAATGCCTTTATTATATTTTTTTTAACTTATACAAACAATCTCACCCAGTCATCAAAACAGCAACATCATGCGATGAAAAGCGAAGATTTGATTCAAATTTTATCATCCATTCTCTAAAACCCCCAAGCACTTCTTTTAATGAAATTAGTGACGTATCATTTTTCATTCGATTCTCCTCAATGAAAGACTGGAACTTAGCAGACTGTAAATAAAGAAATTGATTATTTACATTCCTTCAGCAGAGGACTTTTAAAACTCTATTGTTCTGTTTTTTTTTAAAAAAAATCGTATAGTGTCTTTCTTATAAAATCTATGGAATATTATGTATAATATCTCGGGATATATTATATACTACGACATCCCAGATTGTTAATTAAGCTTATAGTTCCCGTCAGAAAAAAATCACTCCTCTGTTGAATTTTATGGACTCTTAGACAACTTAGGCCCCGAAGTCGTCAATTAGTCAAAATCGTCAGTCGCTATTTATTCAACAATCGTAGTCGATTTTTTTTTCAACTTGTTGAAAACCTTATGCAAGTAATATTGTAAAATAAAACATGGTGCTACCTACATAAATATATTTTTTTTTTAGCTTGGCTTTCTGGTTAGTTAAATTTAAAGTCCAAAAGAGAAGGTGCCCTTTACTGATTTTGAATCAACAATTCATGCTTTTATCATGCATTGAATATATAGGCTAGTATTAGACTATTAGTCCCATTTAGCATCATAAATTAAATGCATATCTTCTTTAAAAGTTTCTTAATCGAACAGTTGGATGAAAACATCCAAGTAGGCTATATTCTGCATAATATATACAATATACATAACATTATTTACATATCAGTTGACAAAATTCAGTCACATTTTTCAACTTGATATTGGGGTTTTCACTAAAAGCCACCTGGTGTTTCCTACGAAACTCGTTTGTTTCACGGAGTATCTCAATGGTCGCCATTTGTCGAGTCTTGCAGGGGCGAGTTGCAAAACTTATTTCATTTATTGTTTTTCAATCAAATGACCTCCAAAGTAAGTGTTTACTGGTTTATAAGTCAGGTAAATCACTTCCCCTCGGGCTTTTATGATTCTGAAGAGAAAAACACTGTAATGAGGATAAGTCAATCGTGAAACAGTCTTTACATTATTATGAATTTATCCTATATACAGCTTGCCACGAACAGTTTTATTTGGCTAATAGAACATTGAAAACTTACAACAATCATCGCAGATCCTTTTAAATGGTGCCTTTTAAAGGGCTTAAAATTTCATGCTAATTAGGCCTATTTTCCATATAGTTTATATAACTGGATTTCGGTTTTATCTCGATAGTCGGGTCTTTTTGTCATTATGCTCAACTTTTGTTGCAGTCAATTACCAATGAAATTTCTGGAACAAGTTTTATATGATTGAATATCTTGATTGTACATGGAATGATATGCTATGTGAGTTGATGGGCGCAAGACCACTCTTGAGACGACTTAAATAAAGGGAAGTAATACAGATATAATGTAGTCAATCCAGGCAACTAGAAAATAATCTTACCCGAACAGCGCCGTACTGTTTCACTTTTACCGAAACATTTGGATCCTTCATTGTTCTAAATTTAAAGTTGACCTGAAAAAAGACGAATTTTAAGTTTGTAAAACAGAGATCTGCTTACATAAGAATATATACCGGAAAGCACATGTTCTCTTTTATCAACATAACAATTACTTAAAAGTATTATAAATCGGCGCAATTTAATGGAATATGCCATAAAATGAGTTTCTGACAAGACACTTCTTCGCGTTCGAATTCCTTACAACGTTCTCAAGGCCTTCAATGTACTAAGCTCTTAAGATCGAGGTCGATGGCGACTGTTTTAGAATTTGTATTTATAGCTCCATTGCACCAGACCATTTGCGATCTTACAGCGACACGAAAAGTCGTGGTCAGACGTATTAAGGTTGCTATAATAGTGGGATAAGTATGTAAGACACACCAGACATGTGCAATTGTCGCCACTATCCGCCGAGCCACAGCGCATTTTTGGACAGGTTCAAAACAAACGCTAAGGTTTGGTGATCTGACACACGTGATAAAGAAACGCTGCAAAAACGTTAGAACGCAAAAATAAAAAAAACTCGAGGTAGTTGGTCGTGTGTTTTTAAGATTTCAATATTTTAGGTACTTTTTATCTAGTTTTTCTCACGATTGACCACGACCTATTATATTTTCATTCGCCGTAAGATCACAGATGGTCGCAGTCCGGTTTGACGGGGTTATGAGGGACCATTACGTTTGTCGGCAACATAAAATATTTTCTAGTCGCAAATGGCCGCAGTCCGGTGTGACAGGGGTATTAAAAAAATGAAATCAAAATTCTCACCGCTTGCCAAAAATGTAAAAGATAAGTTCCAAGTTTAGCAATATCTTTTTTAAACCATTCGAATACTTTAAAATCTACCAATAAAAAGACTTCAATAACGAACGGTCGGTCTTTAACCTGACGTTTCACTATCTGATGTGCAGCCCTTGCTTTAAATGAATGTGTATCACGAAAATACGCTGGAACTGAAATATCATTTTGTAAATAAGATCACAAATAATATTTGAAATTGATAAGAGCTCGGTTAGATTATTGTGGTATAGTCAGTCTGATCGAAGTGGTTAAATGTTTCTGTATATGTGTATGTTGTGAGAGACTATACCTGCTCTGTGTGGTTACACAAATTCAAAAATGAGCGTTATATTTCAGAAAAAAAGGTCCGATCATTGATGGCACGGTGATCTATATAAGAGCAAAAGTCCATTACTTGTAAGTTTAATTTACCTTCTAAATAATCTAGGGGTTCATCAGTTTGTTTATCTTCTCTTTCTTCCTTCTCATCTTTGTCTTCTTTTTCATGACGATGACTTCGATCGTTGTCCCTTTCTGAAAATCGTCGTCCATTGTTTCTCCAACCAGCTCTACCACTGAATCGTTTATGTACAATATGTCTTCGCGTTTTCTCTACTAAATTTTCATTGGCGAATTCAGGGGGCACTACAAAATATCAGTATAAAGAAATGACATTCAATGTACCAATAGAAATGGATCACTATCTATATACTTAGTAATGTAATGAGGGATATACATTTGCACTTTAGCAGTTGCCTAGATATTTGTATTACATTCTCAGATATTACCCATTTCACCCATCATCGGTCAAGACTGACGCTATCAAAACTGACCGCACAAAGTTATATTGTCTAAGAAGTGACGACAGTGAAAGCTCGGTGGGTTCGTTTTGCCACATTGCCCAACTTGCCGCATCAAAAAAAAAAAAAAAAAAAACGACTTGTAAAACGAAACTAAAGATATCTGATAAAATCTGGAATGACCATTTGTTTCACATGAAACGAAATATTTTATTCATTGAACTTGTCTTGTTTTTTGGATTTATGTATTTTGTATTACGGTTCTGATCGTTTGTACTTTTGGTACAATTATGTTTATTATGCAACTTTTCTGAAGTGTTACTGATGTCAGAAATAATGCTTTGTCATCTGACAATGATACTCTTCAGACGAGCTCTTAAGGGATATTGATATACTACCTTCCAAATAATCAACATGTCTTTCACTGTCATCATCCCGCCATACGGTATGTTTTGAAATGTGTAAATCACGTTTATGTCTATCTGCAGCTCCTGGTGGTGCTATTATTATTCCGTGATATAAAAACCCTTCCTGAATAATCACAAAAAACATCAATTGACTATGGTAGGCCTCAAAATTGAACTATATTGTTTTATACGAAATATATCACATTAAACTAACAATATTATTGTCTTGTTGTGTGAAGTAGATATACATTACACACTTTAAACTGTATAATTATGATGCTTGTCTCTGTATAGATTCAGAACAGTATCAGCCAGACAAAACAGGTGTAAAATTTGTAACCAGTAATATAGACCATTGTACATTTCATGTGAATATAACTTTTGCCATTTGTATTTATGTGTTAGACTTGTTAAAATTGATGTTGATGTCAACTTTAACAAGAAAATAGCCGTAAGGTAATATATATTTAATAGGATAGTATAGATTTGCTGTTATTATGGAACTCCCTAGCTGCCAGCACATAACAGAAAAATATTAGGAAATTAACTTTTAAAGTGACTAAAAAAAAAATTATGTACTTTACCACGTGTATTTGACGTGTATTTGAAGGAATAATGCTAACTATGCTCCCAGTATCTAAATTATGAAAAAACTGCCCTTTATACTTGAGTACATCACTCTGAAATTCAGGAAAACAAATCAGCAGGTCTAACATAGAATAATTGTGTACAATAATTACATCATCATTACATAACAGCATTATCATTCACATCAGTATAGGCTAGCATTTTTATTGTTGTTATATCATTTTAAAGATTCAATAAATGTTAATCACTTTAGTGAAAAATTGTGTCTGTCAAGCACCTTAAGTCACTGCTGCGTTATCGGTATAGTAATAGCAGTTTCACTAAAAAAAACATCCCCAAAACCAAGAATAGTTACTGCTATTTACAAAATTATTACCGTCAGTCTACTGGTATGGATTTCTGTTTTACCCTTTCTGTTATCATACACTAGAAAACTTTGGACATTATCGGGCATCACTTCATCTTGTACTCGGGTTAATGATATATTGTGTTTGGAAGATGATGTATTAACGATGAGATGTAGTTGGTCATGATAAAGAAGGTTTCCATTAACTTCGACATTGGCCGACTGAGGATCTGAAATCGAAAATCCCCTATCAAGTACATAAATATCAAGCTATTACAAATAGAACGAGCGGTCAATCTTAAAGTCTATAAGCCCACACAACAGTCACTTTCATGGAATCTTCCTTAATGATATAAGCATACAAGGTTTCATGTAAAGCTACGAAACTCATTCCAAAAACCCCCATGTGTTCATGCGATGATTCCACAAAACCGTTTTCGATTTGCTAAGGATTTGGATAGTATTTGCACTAGTCACTATTTTTGAATTTGAGTGTGCGTACACGTGAAATCGCAGCTTAAATCGGAACTAAACTGTAGTTTTAAGAGAAGTTAGAAGTATTTTAAAGTTATAATAACATCTAAAACCTTCCATACTTATATTATTCATGGAAAAAGAGCTCGTCATAAAATATACATACATAAATATATCAAGTACTGTAAAATTTTGACCACAATTGTTGTCTCCATTGCCCTCACAAACAATTATGGAGGAGATGAACAAAAGCAGGGTTTATTTCAACTACAATTCATGTTTATTTCAACTTTTCAGAGCCAATATTTGGCTTATCAAGGGAAGTAATTTGTACTTAACTACCAAATCCTGTTTATTTCAAAATACATTAAAACCATGGCCAATACTCCTCACAACTCAAGATGAATAATATGAAATTTAGTAATATTCTTAGAGTAAAATATGTCATGATGGAGGATACAGATATGTTCTAATTATGAAGAAAATTTCAATATATATCGCAGTACAGCATTAGAAATATATTTTACAAGGTACGAATCAATAAATAAATAATAGATATATAAATATTTATTTACCTAGTTCGCCATTATTGTCAATGACACCACAGGAAACAATAGACTGTAAAATACACACAAAACAATAATAATCAAATCCTAAAACGAAGCGGGGATTGTAGCAAGAAAGAAATACATATAGATTAGATGACGAGGTTCCGTGGTTTAATAGTATAAAGTGTTAGTTAAAGTGGTTTCAAACTTATTCTTTTAAACTTATTTCAGATTTGTACATAAAACTATTTCTTTTGTGTTACACGACCTAGACGACATTTCAGCACGTGTAAATTGTTGTCTTTCACTATTATGGCCAAGTTAGGTTCACTCCTGAATAGTGTTTTTTCAACATGTTTATCTATTACAAAACGCTCACGTTTCATTGATTTTTCAGCGTAAGCATTACTTAAAGCAAGAATAAGTGCACGTGATTTACATTGATCAGTATTTAGTACGCATGTATAATAGAAGCTTCGATGTCGTGTGTATCAATTTGAGAATTCGTTCTTGCTTCAGTTGTGTGATTTTTGTAATGGATAGTGACAACGATCTCTCAAAGTATAATTAACCAGGAATATTTATGAACACAAGGCAATTTTATTATGTATTTCGACGATGAAAAAAAAGGTTAAGTTGAGAATTCTTGACCCCAGGCTCATCTTACATAATTACGATTATAATAGATACGTTACTACGGAATTTTAGCTTTAGTAACCAGAATACAAGCCTTCGATACTTGTGTAGCAGGTGGCATATTTAATGTACCGTAATTTGATACGAACCGGAAGTTGGAGTTTCCAGATTATTTTGTACATCAATCGAGTGTGGATACGACCAACTTTAGCATTCCATGGGATTTTCATGAGCAAACACTATAAAAAGCTCGATTGTACCTTATTACAGGCAGTCGGTCGGTAGGCGGCTCAGGGTAAGCATGTTCGTTCTGTGGGAGTTATAACACTTCGCTCATAGAGTTGGCTCTTACCTTAGTCAGACAATCTGGCTGTTTGATTTGGGGTTGTGGTTGCCTTGGGTCGGTTTGGTTTCCAGTCAAATCTGAATCGGGAAAATAACGTTCCGCTCGTTCAGATAGACTGATCTAAAATCAAGGGTTTTCAATGTTTGTGTAAATGTATTGTTTGGAATGCGTTCTGTGATGTCTTGTCTTGAGTTAATAAATGTGTTTTTGTTTAATTATTTATTACTTCCCATTGAGGTCACAGTATCCTGAAAGAGCCTGGAACTCCTGGTGTATTGAGACATGACAGGATTGATATTTGGGTTGGGGGTTTTTGGTCTGAAATAACTGCCTTAGATTACCTCCTGCTACACTTGTAAAGCACAATATATTCTACAACTATCGATGAGGTGAAAACCTTTCAGGATTCTTCACTAATCATTCTTTGAGAGCAACTTGTGCGACTCGCCTTTTTAGTTCTGGTGTTGGTGAACAGTTCATAGCGAAGACCGCTAGCCATAGAAGTAACACTATACGCGCGTACAAGCGATCGAACACCACACAAGAGGCCTTTGTTAGAAGTGTGATCCAAGGTCATAGTTCATCATCGTCTACCACTGTTCAATCTTCTAAACGAAGTTCTCTAATGATCCAGATATCACTTCCGCTGTAGACAGATTTTCAGATTTACAGAATTCTTTTTCAAAAATGAACACTAACCACAAAGTTCTGATATATATTTTTTAAATTAACATGTCACGTAAAATCACTGTTTTTTTTTAAGTTACATCCGACTTTTATTATTGGATAGGACTAATTTTGATTTCTCTACGGAATAGCATATTGCGTGACATGGTTATTGACTTCATATTAGTGACATAATTCAAGAACAAACATTTACTTTCACCAGTAATTGAAAGTTTAATAAATTTTACAGATTAGTTTTCAATACATTAGACCATAAATGGTGAACGATATAGACATAATATATGGCTGACTATTTCAGCCAGGTATATGTGCATACTGAACAGGTGGTACCTTTTTTAGTTTCTGACACTGTTTCGGAAATGAAATAAAATGAATGGAGTTTTACATCCTACTTTTCTGCACCATGTGGGCTAATGAAGACGGGCAACGCCATGCAGGGTGCATTGAGGGAAATTTTGCCAGGACAGCGGCATTAGCCTGCTCTTTTTCGATTTCCAACTGTCGAGGGATCTTTAACGTGCACAGCCTGTAGCACAACGGGCCTCGGTTTATTGTCCCATCCGAACGACTAAACGATGTCAGCGCCCCTCTCACCTGCATCACTGCCAGGGGGAAACCGGGTTGGTATTATCTCGACCTATGCCGGGATTGAACCTGGACCTTCAGGTTAGCGAGCAAGCTATAGTTAGTTTGGGGATAATATTTTGTTATGAGTAAATATGAAGTTACACAATACTTAATCCCGGTTTGGTTCTGCATTATTGTTAATTATTATTGAATAAATAAAAATTGTGTTTATTCACTAAAACACGTTTACTTTTGTAAGAAAGAGGCCATTTTAAAGGTGCAAGGTGCAAAAAAAAAAATGTTATTCACTATGAATTAAAATAGAAAGTACATTGTAATGAATAAATAACACGGTCATGACAAAAAGTACCGAAAGTTGATAAGTGAAGTTCCCTATCATTCATCGACCAAGACTACTTCGTTTTACAAACCACGATATAAAAATCACATTGTTTCATTTGGTTGTAAATCACTTGTAAGATATTTTTATTTCTAATCAATCATCTTTCTAGTACATTTATAAATTGAACAATGATTATAATATTTTTGCAATAATGTAAGTCAAAAAAGTATTTCAAAGGTTCTAAAACCTTGTTACTTTTGGGGTCTTAACATATTACAACTACTAGACAATCTTGTAGTCCTTATTTAATTTTCATGTAGATATCTAGTTCTTTTAATAAAGAGTCAGTCAAATTTAGGGGGAAAATCGAATCTGAGGATCAATTGATTAATATTAAATATCCTGTCGAAACGATGGTATAGTGAGCATCTATTGAATATGTCGTTTGGTTTACCCAATTGCCCATCCAATGTTTTACCGACAAAATGAAAGTATATGCCCTAAACCTACTACAGATAGATCAATATGACAAAAGGTTGAAGTCTCCATTTGAATTTATATAATCTCCAAGAAGTGGTCATAATTCTAATCGAATGTCTAAGAAATATGACTTTGAATATACATGAGTTTATTTTAAAATTCATCACTATTTTGTCGGTCAATAAATATAATATTTACATGAAACTTGCATATGTCAAATAAATTAATCAGTATCATTACGGCAGCCTTAAATGGACTGGATATTAAGCCTTATTGGTTCTATAAGTAAGTAAAAGAGTTACCTGTAGGATGAACTCCAATAAAATAAAGGTGGTGGTAACAATGTGCATTACTATTCTCTTTACCAACTGATTCAAAAGATAAAATCCAATCTAAAGTTCCCCAATCCCATGCTAATTATCATGTGTTTCATTTGAATTATAAAACATAATTAAACATATCTATATCCTACTTTAATATATATAATAGTCTCGATCACACCAGTAATTACAAAGAGTTGACTGAATTCGATTTGAAAAATATAATTTGGTATAATCGAGTCTATTGATAATTGTATTGGTCAATCATGCACGGAAGAGTATATCAATGATGGATAGGTGTCAATTAATACTGAAGAAACTCGTCGGGTTTATGCCCCCAAGTTTCATATTAACCGATGTATCACTATTCTCGATAATATGAACCACGCGTATGTCTGACACTAGTACGCTCATATAATCATTTATGACAGTTATAACGCAAATTAAAAAATGTTATTAAACTTTTGGGAAAATGAAAACATCAATAAATCATAATAATAAATAAGACTGCTTCACTGACCTTTGACTAAAGTTGAATCAGAGACCTAACTTACCTCAAGGTGGGCACAGATCGACCTTTGACAAGCAAAATCTGCGGGCAACAGTGTATTTTTCATTATCTGCCAGTAACTGGTGGTATCTAGTAAAGTCTGATCAATCTCTAGATTTAGTAGACCAACGACTGATTAATCCCACTTACTGTCAGTTACAATCAGTTGCACATGTTGTACTTTATAATTTCCAAATTTGAAATTAAAATCATCTTCTTTGTCTACAATTCCACAGATATCAGAAAGTAAGGCGACTAGAGAAGGCGAATGTTAGAGAATCAAGCTTAATTAGGCTTGGTAATGTTCTGTTTATTGTATTATTGGCCGAAGGACACAGAGTATTGGTGTTTGATCGATTAAAGTAAGTTTTAGAAGTGATTTTATTATAGCTGTACGAGAGTTGGCTATGTAACAAGTAGAAGTGCTAACTCCTTAGTTTGCTAACATGGTTTACACTTAAGATAATGTTGTCTGATCCTTTTCCATTGCATAGAAGTGGTCTGTGGAATTCAAGCATGGTATAGAGACAGAAATGGAGCCTAAAGGACGATCCGCGCCCAAGAAAGCCTTCAGCGGCAACCATTCCGATACCTGGTGACATCACCCCGTACATGACCAAGTGAGGGTTGATAGGAAACTACCACATAATAGCAAATGTTATCGGTATCTCTCTTGAAAAGGTTGAGAATGTAAACACCAAACGAGTTGAGAATGACAAAAGTTTCAGAAAGATTGAAGCCAATTCTCTCAAACGTGTCAGATTTCCTGATATCCCCATGACAATTTATTCCCTTTTAAAACAGATCCGATGATGTGTTGGCCCGATTTGTTTTCAAGGGTAAATCCTGTTCCCATGTACTGGGTAATGACGTCAATTCTCATCTTTTGGGGTGGCTGGATTTCAGGCCTTACTAGTATTGTTAAGGAAAAACAGATATTGGCATTAGTCAGGCTTCAATGTAAAAGTCTATTAAATGTTGAATATAACAATTCATGAAGTGGTAAATAGAGTTAATGTAGTGAGTTTATTAATGTATGGACCCAAACCGCTTAAACACTTTATGCAAATGATTGTAATTAAATTTAGTCACTTTTATTTTTAAGAATCCTCTTTCTCCCTCCCTTTTGTTGTTTTTGTATGTCTATTTTTGACAAGTTGTTGGTCTAGATTTGGAATTTTGTTCCTTGAGATAACATTTTTTTGCAGATTTTGGGAGATGATAAGAGATTTATAGTCGGAAGGGTAATTCTTAAAATGGTCGAATCGCTTCAGAGTGTAGTGTAACGGTACCACATTGCGCTGTAACGAAAGTGAATTCCGGGGATCGTTTTCCGGAAATTGGTTTGATATTGCTTTCAGTGTGAACGCACCTATATGTATTGGCAAGGCGTTCAAGTGACATTTTGTAATGTTTTCGACGAGATTTATGGAAAAAGTTATACAAGTTTCAGTCTGAGAAACTCATGATATATTGATTTTTTTTTTCCAGAAACTAAGCATTGGTCAGACATTCATGTGACATATTGGAAAGTTATCAACGAGATTTCTGAAAAAGTTATATAATTTCGTCATTTCACATGGAAACAGATGACAAATGAATTCTTGGTCCGAGTCCAAATTGTTGAAGTTATAAGTAGAGTTATCTCTCTTTACACATAGAAAAGTGGAGATGGCTGTTGTCAGATATTTGCCCGATTCAAGTCATTTTTCTTTGTGTTACAATTCAATAATTATGCACTTACTCTTACAGAGGACACCTGCCTAATTAAACCATGCTTAAGAAAATGTTCTGTTATAATGTATATTTTGTGAACATTTACCTGTCGATTATAATAATTGAACTCTCATAGAAAAAAATTGTTCACCTTACTCCCGATTTAGATCGCCTTTCAACATATAAAATGGTCGACAGAACCCGAAGACCATCATATAACCACCTGCCAATATGCATTATAAGATATGAGAAAAGTCCTACTCCTGTCATTCTAAACTACCGGGCTAAAGAAAGTTTTCACCAACTTTACTTTACCAAATAACATAAACGAAGGGCTATGGAAATTTATTATGATCTATTAATAAATATAAATAATTTTCCTTGATTTAAAATTAAAATGTATTGAAATGCCGATCTTACATTTTCTGCAAAGGAACAGTCAAACGGTCCAAATAAAAAATTACGCAAATCAGAGTTTATTCAAAAATGTAAAAGAGTACATTCCATGCTACAATAATCATAATCCATGCACACCATAACACGCCTCCTCATTGACGTCGTTAGTCTGCGGTTAACATCAGCAGGGATCATGTTCCATAAGGTCAATAGCGTTTGCTCAAGTCCCAGTCGGTTTGCTGGAGCCGGTACATGTTGTCTCTGCTGACGAACATGATAATCCCACAGATGTTCAAGGGCCCCACCGACGTACAGTTCGTGCCCATTGCAGTCTGTTTTGGCGCTGTAGACGGGTCAAGGCCATTCCACGGAAGGTCGGTAAACCAGCTGTACGAAGTCATCGACGTCACCCATCTGTTTCGTAGGCGAATCTGCCGGATGTAGCGCGCCTCGGCCGGTCTTGGTCTTCCCGATCTTGGCCAGTCTTGAGTCTGTCCTGTTTGTTGGTAACGGATTATCAATTTGATGATGGTGGTCTGGGAGCAGTTGAATGTTCTGGCTTTCTGACGTTGAGTAGCAACCATATGAACCATACTGATCGCTCTGTCTCGTTGTGCTTGTGTAAGTCTGGGCATATTTATGGTTTTTTTTTGCTTAATGAATATTTACTCTCTCCAGCGTCGGTTTTCTTACCACAATCATAGAAAGCTGCGTTCGACAATCTGCGTTGTGGTTGAATTCATATTACATTTGGACGAATATTTTCTGCAAGGGCTCAAACCTGTACCAGTTTTTTGGCTTTTTTTACAACTATATTTAAGGTGAAAATTTTATTTTGCCCGATAGCTTAGTATGATCACCAAATTAGAGTAGAAAAGTAAGACGTAATTTTCCCTCTCAGTTTCATCTGGATTTGTCAACTTCCTTTCGGAGAATCCACATAGCTAAAATTGTTAGTTTGCTTCATTTATTTCAAATTATCTTACTGCATATAAACGAACATGCGTGGTTAAATTAATTGTCTCGGATCAACGTTTTGAATATGGAGTGAGCGTTTTTAAAGGTTTCCTAATTGAAATATCAATTACCAATCTCGTGTGAGATAGTAGTTATAAGTCTTATAAGCTGTAAATAAAATAATCTTCGGACTGAAGGTGTAATTATTGTAACCTTATGAGAAAATACACCGACAGCTCTTCTTAAATACGGTTTTCAGAAAGGCAATACT